GACCTGAGTAATGGGTACCTGGAGGTTCATTCTCTCTACTTTTATAAGTTTGAAAATTTTCCTTGTAAAACATGGAAGTAGCAATCACAACAGCAGCCATGGAATTCACCATGAAGTGTTTAGAACCCTTTAAAAAGTAAATATGTGGGCCAGACACAGTGGCTCATGCCTGCAATCCCAGCACTTTGGGAGTCCGAGGCGGGTGGATCACCTGAGGTCTGGAGTTTGAGACCAGCCTGGCCAACATGGCAGAACCCTGCCTCTACTAAAAATACAAAAATTAGCTGGGCGTGGTGGTGCATGTCTGTAATCCCAGCTATTCAGGAGGCTGAATGGGGAGAATCACTTGAACCCAGGAGGCAGTGGTTGCAGTGAGCCGAGATCGTGTCATTACACTGCAGCCTGGACAACAACAGCAAGGCTCCATCCTAAAGAAAAAAAAAAAAAGTAAATATGTGGAAGAATCATGGGGACTTGGCTGTATGCTAGTCCAACATATTTACCCATGAGGAAGTTGAAGTGAAGAGAGATTGTTGTTGCTTTTCTGTTTCTTCAATGTTATCTAAAACATCTAGGTACCTAAAAACCACTGTGCCTACAATCCCTATTTTACTCTTGATATCAACACATGCTCCAGAAATTCTGTGTCTTGATTCTTGGGTCAAGCACTTCTCTGTAATTCTGTCTCAGGCTTCAGCTCAAACCTAGAGTTTTGTCCCCATAAAGAAGTTTCGGTCCTCACTAGTGAATCTAACCCAACCACAGGACATTAAGGTTTATCCTATGAGCTAAATTTACACTTGGCATCTTTGCAATGTATTTTTGAATTGTGGAAGGACCACAGAAGTTTCTGAGCTTTACAGACCTGCGGGAATCCTCATTAGTGTCTTGTGTTGCTTTAACAAGGTACCCTTGTACGAGATCCCCTGTACTTTATCCTGTAAAGAGTGGATCTTCTAAAATAGTGGTTTTAAAGAAACCCAGTAGAAAATTAAAGAATAGAAGATGATTTAATATGTGTAATAAAGGGTGGTAGTATGCATAGTGGTTAAAAACACATGCTGTAAAATAAGATGTCCTGCCATTAGCTGCTTTGCTGCCTTGAGTGGGTTACTTAACTTCTCTGAGCACAGTGATAACAGCCACCTCTTCCAGCTTTGTGAGAATTAAATGCGATCATGTGTTTAAATACTGTGCACGGTACCCTCCACAAAATGAGAACTGCGTAAGAACTAAATAGGGATTATTATGTGAGTAAGACCCTTACTGTGACATGCAGGAAATTAACACAAAATGAGAAAAGGTATTGCGAAGGACAGGAGAAAACAGCAGGAGCCGAAGCCTAAAGGAACGAGCTGAGGCCTGGGGGCGCTGAGAATCCCAGCCCCGCTGGGCAGGGCCTCCAAGCCGGGGAGCTGCGGGGGTGCGCTGTTTGCAGAGACAAGTGGGCGGTGATGCTGCTGTTTCTGCAGGAGGGAGCGGGAAGGTCCCTGAGCAGAGGCCCCAGTAAATGCTTCGGAGCTGGAATGCCTTCCCTTTCCAGATCACCGTGGGCTGAAGCATAAAGGCCTCCCGCCCCGCTGCGGCGCACATCCATCCTCTGGCGAGGCCAGCCCGGCATCCAGCGTGGTCCAGTGGCCAGAATACGCCCAGGCCATGGCCGCCCCTCCACAGGCCTCCGTTTCATGGGTGCTAAGTGAGTCGAAAAGCAAAGGCGTCTGATGGGAACCTCAGTTTCTCCTCTGCCTGCCAGGAGGCCACGTGCGTGCGGAGCGGTGGATGAGTGTGGCGCTGCAGGCGCAGGGCGAGGGCGGCTCCGGAGAGGCCCAGGGGCTCAGCATGCCCGGCTTTCCGCAGCCCAGCTTCGGGCTTCTACTCAAGGTGGGGTTTCTCAGGCAGGGCGTGTTGGGCGCGCCTATGGGATCACTTGAGCCTGGAGCTCGAAACCAGCCTGGGCAACATTGTGAAAACTACCATCTCCCCCGCTCCCCTGCCAAATCTCTAAACCAAAAAAAAATAGTTGGATATTGTGGTGCACACTTGTAATCCCCGCTACTCAGGAGCCTGAGGGCAGAGAATAGCTTGAGCCCAGGACTTGGAGACCAGCTTGGGCAACATGGGTAAAGCCCCGTCTCCAGGAAAATACAAAAATTAGCAGGGCGTGGTGGTACGCACTTATAGTCCCAGCTACTTGGGAGGCTGAGGCAGGAGGATTGCTTGAGCCCGGGAGGGCGAGGCAGCGGTGAACCGAGACTGCACCACAGCACTCCAGCCTGCCCGACAGGGCAGAGTGCGACTCCGTCTCAAAAACTAAAAATAAAAATAAAAAAAGATCAGTTTCTCAACCCCCTCACTGACCTCTAGCCACATGCCTGTTAGCTCTGGGGTCAGCACTGTGTGGGCTTATTTCCATGGCTGGTTGGGTAGTCAGGTGACCATACGACCGTATCCCACGCAATTTGGAGCCCTTTCCGCTCTGCAGGTCCTGGAGCAACCCGAGACCCTTCCTGGATTAATGGGCCGGTGCGCACGGGCTGCACGCCTTCCCTGCTCTCATCTTGTCACAGCCTTTCCTACACCTTAGAAACTAGACAATGGGGTTCAATATTTCTCTTTTTTTGACCAAGTTTAGATTGATTCTCCAGTCTTGGTCGTTTTTTTTAATTGCATTTGGAAACCTGTTATAGTGAATAATTCTTATGTGAACTTTTATAAAAGTCTGGTGTCTATGGTTCCTGTGTCTGAGTAAATCCAGTTAAATTTGTTTTCATGTAGCATGAGTCTATAGTTTTTATATATCATATGTCTGTCTTGTGTAGAGAAATCAGGTGCCCAGATCTGGCAACTGGAAGATCTGTCACCATGAGGCAGTGGAGTTACTCTCTTCGCCGCCATCTTGATAACAGCACAATGCAGGACTGATCTTTACACGTGTGTGTGTGAAGTGTGTGTGAATATGGGTTTGGATGGCTCTTTGAAGGAAATTTTTTTAAGGAAGCCTATAAACTCCTTTACTGGATTAATGGGAGCATCAGAGGAAGATTCTAGAAGGAAATGTAAACCTAGGGAAACAAGATGAAAACTGAGAGGTTTAGCCGCCCCCTTCCGGGGAAAAATGTCTCTTTTGTTTATCAACTGGGAACCATTTGGGTTTGTTGACAATGGTGACAGACAGATAGAGATATAGACTATGCCATAACCTACAAGATTGTCCCTGACACTATGAAATCAGAATTATATTTTCTAAACACTAATAAACCTGTACTCTGGGTGCTTCACTTCTACTCCCCTTCCAATGATTTATACCTAATTTTGTATTCATCATTTTGCATCTCTTTTTTCAAAGAGGACCTTCCAAATTGCAAGCATTAAACCTTACAGTGCTTGGATCCACCTTTGTATGGAATTCTGAGTCCTTAAGAAAAAGTACCAATCCTTCTTTGTTTCCTCCAAAGAATCTATGTTGATTCTTAGAAATGTGGCTGCCAGGAGCAGTGGCTCACGCCTGTAATCCCTACACTTTGGGAGGCTGAGGTGGGTGGATCACAAGGTCAGGAGTTTGAGACCAGCCTAGACAAGATGGTGAAACCCAGTCTCTACTAAAAGTACAAAAATTAGCTGGGCGCAGTGGTGGGCACCTGTAATTCCAGCTACTCGGGAGGCTGAGGCAGGAGAATCGCTTGAACCCGGAAGGCAGAGGTTGCAATAAGCTGAGATCACACCACTGCACTCTAGCCTGGGCAACAGAAAAAAAAAAGAAAAGAAAGAAATGTGGCAGTTGTGATAAGCATGAAGGAGGAGATGCCTGGGACAGGCCACGGAGCCTCAGAACCCTGACGATCAAAGGCAGGCAAATAACTGCCGTGGGAAGGTTGTGAATGTCCCCACAGAGTGTTTTTTGAACATTTACATAACCTCTTTTGTGTTTAGCTACTAATGTAGTCATTTGCTTCCAAAGCCCTTTTGGGTAATTTTGCCAATATGAATTCATAAGCTCTTCATTTGCTTTTGAGGTGAAAAATGTTCTTTTCAGAGTGTCTTGCTTGCTATAATATTAGGTGAAGTTGAGCACAGTGACCTCGTGGCTCTGGAACGAATGAAAAATCGCAATTCACAGTTAACTCCTAGTTGTTGTTTTTTTTTAATGAAAAAATAAATAATTATTCCCAAAATGTGTAATTTTTAAAGTTCCTTTTTTATGCACCTCATATGTCTGGGCCGAATTTAATCCAACTACTCAACCATGTCCATTCCTAATCATAACTCACATAGAAAATGGAAAAGACAGAAGCTAAAACAGAACTTGCCATTATAATATGAATGTTTTTTATGGCTGAGATGATGGTTCAATGAGTTAAGTTACTGAATACTAAATAGCATTATGCTGTTAATTATATTTATAGTTAATGTATGATATTAACTTTGACATAATTTGCATTTTGGGGGACTTTCTGGAATGATAAAACTATTTTGGGCCAGGCACAGTGACTCACGCCAGTAATCCCAGCACTTTGAGAGGCCGAGGTGGGTGGATCACTTGAGGTCAGGAATTCAAGACCATCCTGGCCAACATGGTGAAACCCCATCTCTACTAACAACAACAACAAAAAAAAAAATACAAAAATCAGCCGGGCATGGTGACAGGCACCTATAATCCCAGCTACTCAGGAGGCTGAGGCAGGAAAATTGATTAAACCTGGAAAGCGGAGGTTGTGGTGAGCAGAGATTGTGCCACTGCACTCCAGCCTGGGCGACAGAGTGAGACTCCATCTCAAAAAAAAAAAGAAAAAATTTGCAATTTGACTTGAGTAATGATAGCATGCATGAATACGTTTTTCATCATACTAAACATAGGGCAGGTGCATTTTACTATGTAGACTTCCACAAAGAAAATCTGAATGCTACTTGCACAAAAAACCATTTTTTGCATTTTTTTCTTTTAACTTTTTAAAAGGTTATTACACATTTTTCAAAAAACTTGTAACTCTTTCAAACTTTAGGAATTCTTTGATCATGTGAAAAAGCTTTGGGACGATGAAGGCGTGAAGGCATGCTTTGAGAGATCCAACGAGTACCAGCTGATCGACTGTGCACAATAGTAAGTTGTGTCCTGTACAAGCCACAGGGCCCTTTGAAGAATATGATTGCATGCATGACTATGCTGCCTTCTCAGTACTTCTGAAGTTTCCTGAGTGCAAGAAATGAATCATTAACCTTTTGTGACAGAAATCAACTTTTAAAATGAGACACGTTTAGTAGATGGAAAATTGAAAATCCAGTAAGAATCAATGTTTCTGAGAACCAGAAAGTTCCGTTCATTTTGTCCTGATTGTTGTCTTCTGTTCTCTTCATTTTTTGACTTTTATGTACAGCTACATGCGTATTGGTAAGTTAAAGTGTACTTACATCGTTATTGTTATGTTTTGATTTTGGAGCAGGAGCCTCGAATTAAATGTTAAAGTAATACAAATCTTGTGATCAAGGACAGGCTCTTACTTGAAGTAATGTGATCATTCCGTACACATTAGAAGTATGCCAGAAGGCCAGGCTCGATGACTCGTGCCTGCAATCCTAGCACTTTGGGAGGCCAAGGTGGGTGAATCACCTGAGGTCAGGAGTTTGAGACCAGCCTGGCCAATATGGTGAAACTCTGTCTCTACTAAAAATACAAAAATTAGCCAGGTGTAGTGGCAGGCACCTGTAGTCCCAGCTACTTGGGAGGCTGAGGCAGGAGAATTGCTTGAACCTGGGATGCAGAGGTTACAGTGAGCCGAGATTGTGCTGCTGCACTCCAGCCTGGGCCATGGAGAGAGACTGTGTTTCAAAAAAAAAAAAAGAAGAGGAAGAAGTATACCAGAACCTTGAAAATGGATGATAATGAATGTAATAAGTAAATATTTGATGAAAAATGTAGTTAAAAAAGGAAAAAGGACACTCGTGCCAGGGCTGGCTCATTGTTTTTTCCTGAAACACTTATTTTCTATTGTGTTGTGTTTTGCTTTGTCTGATATAGCCTACTACTATTAGAAAATAATGGTCCCTAGAACAATATTAAATTATTAAGAAGTTCTAGATATGTTTGCTGTTTTGATAATTAAAAACTGTATTTGACTAGTTGTTTTATGTAACTCTGTGGATAGCAAGAAATGAACAATTTTACATTTTAAATCTGTAAACTCTAAAAATGTATACACATGGAAGAGATTCCATAGCATAAAATCTGGGAATTCGCAGTATTTGGAACCAGTGAGTGGAGCTGCATTGTGGATGTTGATTTCCAGGAGCAAGTGGTTGTGTCGGCCCAAGCTCCTGCTCACTAGGTTCTGCATCCAGTCACCGTCCCCCGTGGGATGGGCCTGGAGCACCCAGTGAAGCCCAGAGAGTGAGATCCCAAGGGTCCTGTGGCAAGAGCGGGAGGAGGAGGAGAAGGCACTGAGCATGGGTGGGGAAAGGTAGAGTGGCCATAAAGAAGTGAGAGAGGTTGATGGGGCCAGACACCCCCAGGGCTGAGGACCACAGCAAGGAACTTGGGTTTTCTTTCAACTGTGCTAGCAGCCATCAGCTCCAAGCTGAGGTTGTCAGGAGAACAGAATGTAGAAGGCAGAGACCCTGTGGGGTGCCTTGGGTCAGGTCACAGTGGCCATGCAGGTGAGTGCTGGAAGATAAAGGGGCAGAACCAGCTGGTGGACTTAATGAGGGAGGTGGAGGAAAGGGGTTCAGGAGGGAACAGGGTGAACCACAGTGCCATTTACTGCAGTGGGGACATCTGGGAGACTTAGGAAAGAGATCCAGCTCTGATTTGGAGATGTTGAGTTTGAGATGCCAAACGGAGATCCATGTGGAGACATGGAGCAGTCAGTCTGTTGTCTGATCCTGGAGCTTGGAAGAGAGGCAGATGGCCCCAGTGTGCCTGTCATCAGCTACTAATGGTATGCACACCCTGGGAATCCAGAGCACTAGGAGCACCTGCAGAGAGGAGAAGGCCCTGGAGCACCTGCAGAGAGGAGAAGGCCCTGGAGCACCTGCAGAAAGAAGGCCCTGGCCCGGGAACGTTGTTTCAGGCAAGGAGGAGTTTCACAGCACACCCAGCAGAGGGCAGGGGTTATCCAGGCCAGACTCTGGAGAGGCCCAGAAGGAGAGCTGATGGTCCTAGTAACGTTGTACTTAACCTCTTTCTTACCTTGTCCAAGGACAGGACATCCCACACTCGGTCCGCTGGCATGTGATGAGTGCACTTGGCAAGGCAAAGTATAGTAAAGCATCAAAAATGGAGCGCACGCCTGCTGCAAACACCCTCAAAGGACCATAGAAAGGGTTAGCCACCTCCATTGTATAAGCTAAAGAAAATATTTATTCACAAAAATTTTTAATTAATGAAAAAAGGATATAAAATGTCCTGGCCGGGCACTGTGGCTCACACCTGTAATCCCAGCACTTTGGGAGGCCGAGGCGGGTGAATCACCTGAGGTTAGGACTTTGAGACCAGCCTGGCCAACAAGGTGAAACCCTATCTCTACTAAAAATACAAAAATTAGCCAGGCATGGTGGTGGGCACCTGTAATCCCAGCTGAATGCTGAGGTAGGAGAATTGCTTTAACCTGGGAGGCAGAGGTTTCAGTGAGCCAAGATGAATGCACCTTCATTCCAGCCTGAGCAACAGAGTAAGACTCCATCTGAAAAAAATAAAAATTAAAAAATTAAAAATGTCGATTTCCTGCCATGCATGGCAAGCTTTTTAAGACTTTCCTTAAATAACGTTTTGAAATTGGCCCTGCCCTTTAGTTTACATTTGTGAATACGCTTCTGTGGTTGCTCTCACGTTATCTGGTTGCTTTACGTCTGGGTGTGGGAGTTGGAAAGGTTCTCAGTGGAAATCCAATATAGTCTGAACAGCTATTTTTTTTTTTTTTTTTTTTTTTTTTTTTTTTTTTTTTTTTTTTTTTTTTTTTTTTTTTTTTTTT